GGCTCTCTTTCCCTTTACAATTGAGTATTGCAACTCATTTTACAAATGTGCACACTTGGCAGGAACCAAAAGGGTCATCAAATCATAAAGATGATTAACATTCTCCGGACAAGACACATTAAGAGCCATACCTCTTGAATCCTCTGCAGAGTAAAAAAAAAAGGATTCTCAGGAGAAGCTGCCTTAAGCTTTGGGCAAATTGGTTTGGTTGCCACATTAAAGGTCGAAAGGGAGGGGGGAGAGCTGAGGGGGTATTGGGGGATGGAGCAGGGGACCGAGGGCAGACCTTAGTTGTGGCCTGAAATGGGGTTGCAGGGGAAAAGAAAATGAGGCAGAAAGGCTTAACCTGATAAATGAAAGGGTAGACTCTCTGCCATGCAGTATTAAGGCTTGGGCTTTGTATTTTACCTTCTTTTTTTTGTTGCACTTTTTGATTCGATCTGTTAAATATTTTGTGTCTCTCTCTGTATGTTTATTATTAATGTGACTTTTTTAGACTCTTTAAAGACCTAATAAAGATTAATATCATATGTATATTAGCTTTGAGATAACATACATTATATGCTAGTGTATTTCTAAACATTAAAACAAATGCTTAGAAAAATGCTTAAAAAATGAAAACAATTTAAAACAGGAATTTAACAGATTAGCCAATGAATAGCCGACTGTGTAGTTTACATCTCAGTCTGGCAAAGATGCACATGACAGAAGACACTTTTTCTTCACTTTTCTTCACAGTCTCTATCTTTTCAGGACAGGTACCCAAAATGTGTCCAACCAAGTGCTATCTTGAACAAGAAGTCAATTATAAATACCAAATATAGCTGCAAGCAGCAATTAGGCGGCCAAGCACAACAGAGGTAAAATGAAGAGCTAAGGAGCTGTCTTTAATTACTCAGTAAAGGCCAGAGTTCTCCAACCCTGCTCCTGGAGAGCTACCTTCCTGCAGACTTAAGTTCCAACCCTGCTTCAACACACTTGTCTGTAATTACTTAGTCCTGAACACCTTGATTAGCTGGTTCAGGTGTGTTTGATTAGGGTTGAAGCTGAACTCTGCAGTATGGTAGCTCTCCAGGAGCAGGGTTGGAGACCCCTGTTAAAGACATTTGTTAATACAGAATTTTACCATAAAATGTCCGATGCCCAAAAAGGCTGACATAGGAAAATTAGGAATCGTTTAATTCTATATGCTGTTCCGAATCTAACAAGACCAATCTTATGATGCTTGGCCAAACTGAAAATATAATTTTCAGCAGAAATATTTTTAAATATCTTTTGACCAGCAGTCAAAAGTCCTTGTGCGCTCAAGTCATGCTTGTTATAACACATACCAAGTTTAGTTTGAATCTGCTAAAGCATTGCAGAGATACAGCCTCATGTCCATTTTTGCACAAACTTTGCCAAATTTGTTAACACACTTTACAGGTGTGGTATATCAAAAAGCTTTTGATAATTTTTTGCATGAAGATGATCTGTGCCAATTTTGGTGAAAATTGGACAAACCATCTAGGACGAGTTCGAAAAAGTAGATTTTTCGGAAAATTTAAAATAAAAAAAAATCTTGACATGTAGAATGTTACATTTTGGTATGCATTCGACTCGGTATGAGCCAAGGAATCAGAAGAAAATTAATTTTGATCTTAAGGTTCACTCTGCGCTACAGCGTTTTAGATAGAGACTCCAAATTTGCTGTGGTTAATGACGAGACTGTTCTCTATCTGTGTGCCGAATTTCATAACTTTCCCGGAAACAGTTCTATAAGATTCATAACAATATGCTAAAGTGTTTGAAAAATACACCATTTTACTACAAAATTTGAAATTGTCCATGTTCAGATTGGCTGACATAGTATCATAAAGCCAAGGAATCAGAAAAAATGAGAATTTTGCTTCTAGACCTTATGGTTCAAAAGTTATTAGCAGAAACATGAGTGCAAATTTGACCTATTGATGGTGCTAGAGAGTTTGAGATAGAGACTCCAAATTTGCTATGTTAAATATTGAGACTGTCCTCTATCCGTGTGTCAAATTTCATAACTTTCCCGCAAGTGGTTATATGGGCTGCTATAGACTCCCAGAGCAGAAGAAGACGACGAAGAAGAAGAAGAAATAGAATGAAGAATAGTAATAATAAGAAAACTTATTATTACAATAGGTGCCTAAGCACCTTCAGTGCTTGGCCCCTAATTATTTCTGACTAACAGCAATTAGCAAGTAGAAAATCATGAGTTGTCTGTGTGTTTTTGGCTGCTCAAACCTGCATACTTGTTTAATTTTCCAACTGCAAGTTGATTGTGAAGGAAGTGGCTGGAGTTTATTTATTTTAAAAAGTAAGCAAAGGCAATGAAATTGTAATGTGTGTGCTCACTATACTATATTTGATGTACACAGATAAAACAAATCCAATCAAAAGGTTGTCTATAGATACTGCATACAGTAGTTTATAGATACAAATAATTTAAAGCTTACGGCTGAGACATATCAACACTTCTTCATTAGATCTGTCACCCCTTTAGATCTTGGCTTTAATTGAGGTTTAGGTAAAGGTGGTGGCAAAAAGTCATCCAGTTTTAAATTAAGTGTCTTCTGTCAAATGCATATTTGCAGGACTGTGATGTAAACACACAACTGGCTATATATTGGCTAATCTATAATTGCTGTTTTAATAGGAAGCAAGTCAACACATCACAGAAAACCGTGCTCATCAAGACACTTCACAGGGACATAGCATAGCATACATTTTGCCATTTTATATTTAAGACAACAATAATATCATATTGTACTAATATCATATAGCATGCAGGTGGGTTTAGATGCCAATTAGAGCTTATGAGCAGTGTGAGGGTGCAATTTCCAGGGATGGTCACATGCTGCAAAAGGAGCCGCCGACTTAAGCATCATTAACTGCATTAAAATTACAGTCACAATGAACAAGTTCTAAATAATTGCTATTTTACTAGTTGTATTTTAGTTACTCAAAATACAACTAGCTGTCCCTTTAGATATTTTTTAAGATATAATTGAAAATAGTTAATTGTTTCCTATCAGAACCCTTTTAAAACATTGAACTGGTCTGATATTGTATAAATAAGCAAAATACAATAATGGTCAACTATGCATATTCTTCATATCAGTTGACCACCACAGCTAGTCAGTATACTGCTCTCGTGAGTGTTGATGATGCTTTGGTGGTTCACTCCTCTATACCTTTTATCACCAGAAAGGGTCCCTCTATTGAATTTTTTTTACTTCTTGCAGGAGAATGTCGGATAGGGAACTAAATAATTAAAGAAAAGGGACCCTTTTTGACTGCATCAACCATGGCACTGCTGGTAAGCTCTACAATACATTGTACAATCTATTTATCAGTTACATTTAGGTGATTATTTCAGTTACTTTTAGCCCTTATGGCCTGGGTTCCCTGAGGTCTTTTTATTTTGTTTTCTTGTTTCTACATTACTATTTATTTTAGACTGGAAATGTGATAGGCTATGGTTGTATGGCACTCACAGAGGCTCCGTTAAAACAAATATCTTGGTTGTTTTATTTTGGTTTTGTTAATCCATGTTTAAACCAATTCTGCATTAGTATTACTACACTGTAAAATCTAATTAGTTGGGCTTACTTAAAAAAAGCATGCAAACCGATTGACTTGAAAAAACGAAGTAAAGTGAAATAGGAATAGTATGTTGTACTGACAAATGCTTAGTTAGTATAGTTTACTTACACAAGAGTTCTAGTAACTAAATAAGAACTGTAGGGGGTACTTGATTCTTTAATTTAGGTTTACTCATGACTTAGTATAGCTACTCACTGACTCCCAGAGTGCATTACGGCACAATAAATTATGCAGTTGCTTTGTTTTACAGTTCTTGATTTTATTTGACAATTTTATTTGCTGTCTTGTGTCAGTTAACCCAATTAAAAGCATCTCAAGGTATTTGTGTAAAATGAAATTTGAAAAAGCTCAAAAAATACACTAATGATTTCATTAGAAGATAGGTCACCTTCTAAAAGCAATCTATTTATTATATTGCTTTCCTTGAAATCAAATAACTCTGACTTCATGATGCATTGCTGCATTAACAGTAAGAAAATTATAGTAACATATGCAAAGTTCCAAGTGCCCAACCAAAGGGAACGCTAATCACTAAAAAAAAAAAACACACATTTTAGGAAAATCAACATCAATTTAAGTTAGCTAATGTGATGTTCTCTCAAATATTTCAGTAGTATTGACAATTCAACATTCAAGATGACTTTGGGAAACGAGTGAATGCAACTAGTGAAAGATAACTGCAGACATGGAGGAAGTAGTTTCCTTTTGTTTTTTGTCAAACCACAATATTTATTCAATTGTTAATTGCACATCATGAGGACTGACAAATTTATTGCATGGTCTCATATTTGAGGTAGTTATTAATCAGTTGTCTAGAGGCAGACTTAGTTGTAAGAAAATAAGTCAAGGTTTAGATTAATTTATGTAAAGTCACTTTTTCTTGCTATGTGTTATGTGATCCTGGATTGGAGTGAGAAAAAAAATTCATCTTTATTAAAGTGAAGCCTAAATTAACAATATGCTTATGGGTCTCTATTACGCTACCTTCAGGAGTGAGTCAATGTGCTAATGCTGTCCATGTCGGAGTTAATATGCTATCGAGTTTCTCTCGATTATTGCATTACCATGGCTCAAATCAATTGATAAACTCCCATTCAATGTGGTGGAGTATTTAATTGAGTCAGTCAATTGCATTTGTGCATGCCTGCAGACATGCTGACAGGAGTAAACACTTTAGCAGGATACTGTCTAAGCTGTGTTAGAGTTATTGAACTCTCTGCTGTGTCAGAAAGTAGTGTGCTCTAACACACATTCATGCACTCATTCAAAAAAAAAAAAAAAAAAAAAAGTGAAAATACAGGATTTTTTTTATATATTGCAGATCTTTGTATGTTTTCAGTTCAAATACATTGCTACAGGAACCCTATCCTCTTTCCCTGCAGACATAGCTCCAACATCAACCTGCACCGCAAACTACTGACCAAAGAGCTGGATGACATTGTTCTGGATCCCCAGCTTACAACCATGCCTAAAGAGCTGCGTGCCGAGTTCCTTTCAACAATCTATGCTGACCACCATCTGGGACTTGAGGGGGTAGAGAATGCTGGACCACCACGAGACAGAGGACATGAGGGAATGAGATCCCCAGTCGCTAAAGAATATTCACGCAGCAATGGCTATTGCCATGGCCCCAGTGATGACTACATGGTGCTGGACCTGAGCACCACCTCCAGTGTACAATCAAGTGGCAGTGTGCAGTCCTCACAGGAGTCTGATGAGGGCAGTGATGAGGGCATCCTGCTGGATGACATGGAGGGTGCTAGTGACAATGAAGACTACACCCCTAGTACTGCGGCAAAGAAACTGGCAAGGGAGGGAAAGGATACAGAGGACGCCAGGAAGGAAGGAAGAGAAGGAGCCACGGAGGAGGGGCTTCTGCACTGTGACCCTTCATTCTCACCATCCGTCTTAGCATCCAGTGGAGGTAATGGCACAGGAGGCATCCTGTGCACCATCTGCCACAAACTGTACAGTAATAAAGGGACCCTTCGAGTGCACTACAAGACTGTCCATCTGCGTGAAATGCACAAATGCAAAATACCTGGCTGTAACATGATGTTTTCTTCCGTGAGAAGCAGAAACAGACATAGCCAGAACCCCAACCTACACAAAAATGCCCCCTATACCACAATGATTGACTAGACCTGACATCCCTCTGCACCACATTGCCTCAAGTTACAAATACTCCACACAATAACACCCTCTCCATTTCTCAGTATCATAATGCTATAAAAACAGCATTATTTCTCCCCAAACGTCTTTTCAAGTATGAAAAATTAGAGCAGAATTGTGCCCTTTTGACATTTCCGTTTTTGGAAGCAAAATACATCATAGATCTCTCCATCCCTCACACAAACTTCTCCTCAGTCTTTAATTTATGACTCTTGCCTGCAGAAATGATAGAGGTGAAAAAAAACGCATTTTTGTAATGATATATTTTAAAGAATCCCATACAAGAGCATGTTAAGACTGGTTTAAACATGTAAATATTAATGTTGTGGGGGGCTATTTGGTGTGAAACAGTTGTATTGATGGTTGATATTTTCTCTTTTTTGTTCTTTTTTTATTTTATTTTAGTCTAATACTTTCATTTAAAAAAAGTTAAGCAAGACAAAGTAGCATCTGCCTAGCTTGATTCATATATTGGCTTTAAGAATGTTTTACATTAGAAAAGAAAAAGTAAAAACGTGACTTGTGACTTGTTTTATCTACATGTTAGATATACAGATGGAGCTGGCATGCTTTTAGCTCTGACACAGTACCTTTTTCTTTTATTTTCTCATGTTTATAGCTTTGGTACAAAAAAAAACAGTTTTGCACTTTGCAACTATACTAGTGGGACTTGTAACATTATTACAAAGATAACACTTTACAATGATGGTTGTCCAAATTGAAAGTGACATTTTTAAGGGTACAGTGCCAAGCGGTAATTACTGTTCCTTTAAAAGACATGTGCCAGATCTTGATATGAGAGTAATCTAATTTGACATGATTAAACCCAATATTCATCCCATTTAGTAAGTGTTTCAGGTATATTCATTTGAATGCAGTAAATAAGTATTACTGGCTCTGATAATATCATTTCAAGAGTATAAGTGTATGGATAAAGGTGCTGAATTAGCCCAGAGGTTAGGTAGATCATCTTTCTACTGCATGTAGTATTACTTTAAAAGAGTTAGTAAGTGTCCTATAATTTATTTTGTTTCTATAAATTTGATCACTTTTATCATATAAAAATGCCATTGACATTTCAGTGTGCTACACAAGAGAGGCTCTAAACTGTGGCCAAAATCAAAGACAATGTTTCAAAACCTCATAAACAGAAATGACACATTGAAAAGATGTTTAGGTAGTTTCCTATCTCCTGAGATGCTTCCGTTCCAGACAGTCGTTTACAGCAGAACATCTTTATCTTGTTAATGGCAAACATTGACTATTGGCCACACAATATCAAGACAAAGAAAAAAGCACTATTGCATTTGATACATTTAGTGGGTATGTAGATATGACTATTTATTTCTAGTTATCTGTTTATAATAATTAACTGAATGCAAATTAGCCCTTTGATGTCTGTTGCTGTCATTTCAAATAAATGAAATGAAAGATAATTCTGAATGAATTAAATGTAATTTACATTACTGAAACTCCATTCAGTTCAAAAGGTTATTAATGCTGGACAAAGACTAGATGCATTTGGTCCCTCCTTTATGTGCTATAACAGTAGCAGGCCTTATGGTATGATGGAAGGTATGAAGATTAAGAGATATTTTGAAAGGGGAAATAGCAGTGTGTGTCATTCAAAATATGTTGCTGCACATAACCTGGAGATATTTCCATCACTGATCTGTGTAATAATTCAATTGTCAATTCATTAAATTCAGTGATTCAGTAAATGTTGCTGGCAATACTGCATCATGGAGACACCCAAGCTCTCCTTCTGGTTTTCTCTTTCATTTCTTCCTCTGTTTTCTCTTGCTCTGCCACCACCCTACCCGCTACCTCTTACGCCCATCACAACTGCTGCCACAGTGGGGGTCCTACAGGGACACTGTCTAATAGTGTACGGTTAACTTCCCCGGATGGCACACAACACAGAAAAAGAGTTGTAATTGCCTGTTTATTCCACATAAGGGGAAAATTGAACACATACAGCCAAGTTTCCCCCTAGAGTCAAACAGTGTTTTACTTTCCTGATCTCTGAAAGGGCTATAAAAGAGTGCCACTTCAGAGGCATTTTACTGCTTCAAAAACAATGCCCAAACTTTGTAGTTCTTGCACCAATAACTAATCAGTAGGATGACAGCAACATGTGGACCTGTTAACCTCAAAATAGAATGCACTTTTAGGACTGACAAAGGCTGGTACTTTATTAAAACCTTAATAATAGTAATCATAATCATAATAATAACATCATCATCATCATCATGTATATAGATGGGTAACGTGATATCATAAAGTGAAGGTTATCAACCTCATAGCCTCCATATTTTCCAGCCTTTCAAACTAAAGACCTTCTAGAGAGACACACAGCATGGACACAAAGAAAAAGCTTCATATTTCTATCTGCCGAGAGAAAGGAAATTACTTCCAAATGTGAATCCCTGATTACTTACACATTATGCTTCTGTTCGCATTGGATTTGTCTGATGGAAGTAAAAAAAAAAAAAAAATATATATATATATATATATAATATATATGACAGGGAAATGGTCTTAAAAATGGGTTTAGTGTCAGTCATTTAACAAGAGATATGTATGAGAGAAGGAGGAAAGGAGTGAGGAAGTAAATGAAAATAAACCAGAATTTCTCAGGATGTTCTGCTATAATGAATTGATCATCTTTTGGATAGTAAACTCCTACTCTTGTACTATCCCATCCTGCTCCTATTTTACTTTTCCCCAGCATAAAAATTACCAGCATATTCTTCTCTGAGAGCCCATCAAGATCTCTGTTGTCAGGAGTCAGGCAGTCATTACTGTCCTGCATTGTCCCCACAGAGTTAGGCTTTTACCATGAAGCCAGAGGCTAAAAGAGTCTGAGCCTTAAATATTTCATTGCAGCTCTGAGGACAGGACCATTACAGACTGTAGTATTACAGAATGTAGTATCTTGCAAAGGTGATCTTTAAGTTTGCTGTGTTAGCACTGTTCCTTTGAGGGCATAGAGCGATAAAGCACAAAAATAAGATCAAATGGAACTGAAATTGCAGAATCGAAGAATTATGTCAAATAAAAATAGACATTGTAAAATCAAACACAGAGGAACATTCTGATCAGTGTGATCATTTACATGAATATCAGTGATACAAAGGAAAGTAAAAACATAGTCCATGATTTAATACAAGTATAATATATCGTGTTGTGCAACCACAAACAATAATAAATAAGCCTGAACTATTTGTTAACCTTTTATTTCGTTCTAATGTGATGTTTGATGTAGCTGTCTTGTTTGATTGTCCTTATTGCCCACTGAAGAAAAGTGCATCCATATTGATGGGTGATATTAATTGCTTATCAATGCTACTTTAATTCTAAATTGTTTACTTTTCATCCCATGAGACAGTATGATGTCCTCCTTTAATGAATTTACATTTCTTGGAATCTTTTGTATTTTTTTTTTTTTTTTTTTCAAAGATTTATCAGTCACTGGCATGTTGAAGTACTTTATTATGTTGGATCAGACAATTACAAATATTTAGTTTCTTTGCACAGCTGGAAGTTAGCACTTCATGAAACTCGCAACAGAAAATTCCTATTTATGCCACAGAGATGACCTGATTAGTAAGTCAGTGATTAGCTTTTAGGTCTTTTGTGTCTTTTTTTCTTTTATTTATTGATTGAAATATTATATATTATATATAGATTTACCTAAATGTTCATTTTTTTAAATAAAAAAAATGGATTTACAAAAACAGTTTTGAGCCTTTTATAAAACAACAGGATTTTATGCAGAATATAACAATTTCTGGCGTGTTTGACATGTTGTGGTACAGCGAGGACCAGGCAGGATATCACAGCACAAGAGGATAGACTCTCTGGGCACAATCAGGCACTACACCAGCCTTGCTGCATGGCAGGTAGAATCAGGGATGGGCATTATTTATGATACATGTATTTAAAATATGTATTTAAAATATAAAATACGATTTTGTAATTTGTATTTGACAGGGTTCATGAAAATGGCTTCACATTTTGTATCAAAATACTTCAGTGTTAATTATTTTTGTAGTTTTAAAATAGTGTAAAATACTTTGTAAGAAGTCTACATGATGACATCATAAAAATGTGGCCTCTGATTGGTGACTGCTCAGTAGTTTTCCCAGACTTTTTACTACACTATTAATGTGTATGTGTCCTCTGTACTTCAATAGATTCAGTGACTGGAGTTGGGTTAGTACTCCTTAACAAGTTTTGTTGCTACTTTCTGATTACGTTTCTGGATACATTTAAATTAAAACATATTGATCATTTAATAATTGTTGAAATGCTAAAATGTTTGTTTTCAACTTCCAAACACGGTGCATCTGGAAAGTATTCACAGCGCTTCACTTTTTTTCACATTTTATTATGTTACAGCATTGGTCTCAAATGCAATTCCTGGAGGGCCACAGCTCTGCACAGTTTAGCTCCAAACCTAATCATTAAAAAAAAATATACAAACAATACTCCATAATGACAACGTGAAAGAAGTTTGTTTGAAATATTTGCAAATTTATTTTTTAAAAAAATCACCTGTACATAAGTATTCAAAGCCTTTGCCATGACACTCAGAATTGAGCACAGGTGCATCCTGCTTCCACTGATCATCTTTGAGATGTTTCTACAACTTGATTGGAGTCCACCTGTGGTAAATTCAGTTGATTGTACATGATTTGGAAAGGCACACACTTGTAAGGTCACACAGTTAACTCTCTGGGGTCTGAGGGGGTTTGGGCAGGGTGCGAACTACGGGGGAGCTAGGGGGAGCTCGGCTCCCCTTAATAAGACATGGGCTCCCCTGAAAACGGGATTTGTGAAATTTTGGGGGGTCTCAAAAAATATTGACAATGTGTTATTTTGACGTGCAATTTCAGTTTTGTGTAATGTGATCATCGTGGATTATTATGTGTAAAATTGCATGACGGCGATTTAAACCTAATTCACTTCAATAAAGATAACTATAGGCCTACATGCTATTCTTGTCATGAGCATCAAGGTGGGGGGGGGCGCTGGTGCAAATTCCACTCATGTGTAGTACATGTTAACTCAAAGATTCGTATAGTCCTGTATAGGGCCTTAATGGCTAAAGTCTGATTACAGTTTAATTAGCACAAACTGGGCTACAATAATATGTGAGCAGCATGAATGTATGTGTTAGTTTTTTTGAGAAAACAACGTTTATGCGTGGTTAGTGAAAAACTAAAAGTCACTGAAATAAGGCCCTAAAACACATACAGAACATTTGTTCACAAGACTTTTGAGAACAGGATGTGGTAGACTAGAGTTTTTGCCACAATATGATGTGAAAATTATCCTGTTTACTCGTTCACAGAAAACAATATATTGATTTAACATTTGTAAAACATGTTTTGTGATAGAATGCCCATATGCGAGGGAGTGACAATGGCCATGAGTATTTTAGTGATTCACACCTGAGAGACAAAGGCCTCCCATAATGAGCTATCAGTCAGTAATGTGTCTGTGAAGCAGGTAACAAAGAATGTGAGGAGAGTAAAATAATGGGGGTTT